TATTATATCCAGTCTACCAGGATGAGGGCAGTGCCAATCCAGTGTATTGATCCAGCAATCACCCACCCTTAATCCCAGCACTCATTATTCCAGCATTGTACTATGAATCAATCACCCACTCTAGATTCATCCACCTACAAAATACCCCCTATGACCTCATGGGGCTTTGTGGGAGACATCAAGACACAAACCATAAGAGTATATATTTCACTTTTAGTGCAGCTTTTGCTGCATCCCACCCATTTTGGTATGTTGTCTCTATTTTCATTTGTTTCAAGATTTTTTAAAATTTCCCTTCAAATTTTTCAGTGGCCCACCATTCATGCACAAGTGTTATACACTCTCCATGTATTTGGTAATGTCTGATGTTTCTGTTGTTGTCTCCTAGTTTCATGCAAGTGTGATCAGAAAAGACCCAGAATATAATTTCAATCTTTAAAAATTTATTAATGCTTATTTAATCATAATACTGTTCTTCCTATCACAATGAAATTAACCTAACAAATTGTAACAGAACTAAGAAATTAAAAAATACATGGAAATAAAAAAAATTTATTAATGCTTGCTTGTGCCCTAATACATGGTCTATTCTAGAGAAAATTCCATATGCTGATGAAAAGAAGATGTACTCTGCAGCTATCAGATAGAATATGTTGTAAATGTCTGTTGGATCCATTTATCTATAATATAGTTTAACTCTGATGTTTCTTTCTCTTTTTGATCTAGATATGTCCATTGATAAGAATGAGCTATTAACATCTTCCACTATTATTATATTGGAGCCTACATTTCTCTTTAGGTCTAATAGCACTTGTTTTGTAAAATTGAATACTCCAAGACTAGTGCATGTGCATTTATAATCATTATGAATTGATTCCATGATCATTATATAAAAATAGCTACTTCTACTCACTTTAGGGTTTCATTTGTTTGAAATATAATTTTCCAAACTTTCATTTTCAGTGTGTGTGTGTGTGTGTGTGTGTGTGTGTGTGTGTGTGTATTTATTGGAGAAGTAAGTTTCTTATAGGCAGTGTATTGTTGGGTCTTGTATTTTCTTCTAATCTTCTGAGTCAGTCTTATCTATCTATCTACCTATCTATCATCTATTTTTTCAGTACTTGTGTTCAAATATAGAAGTACTCTACCACTGAGCTACACCCCTAGCCCTTTTTATTTTAAAACAGTGCCTTAGTGAGTTTCCCAGTCTGACCTCAAAATTGCAATCCTGTTATCTCAGTCTTCTAAGTACCTGGGATAACAAGTATTCATCACCATACTCAGCTTGGTTTTAATAGCATCTTTTAATTGGAGAATTTCATATTTATATTCAAGGTTACTGAAATATATGGACTGAAGCTTATCATACTGTTGATTTTCTTATTGTTTTGACTAAAATTTGTTGTTATTCTTCTGCATGTTGTACTGTATTAAAAATTTTTTATTCTTTTCTATTTTTCTTTGCATAGCTGCTGTTTTAGCATTTAAACTTTCACATGCTGTCATGATGGTAGCTATCTTTCTTGCCCATCTGGATGTAAGATTCCCTTAAACATCTTTTGTAAATCTACTCAGTTGTGAATTTCCTTAGTTTTTTCTGGTCCCAGAAAGTCTTCATTTCTCCTTTCTTTCTGAAAGCTATCTTTGCTAGGTATAGCTGCTTTGCTTGGTTGGCAGTTATTTTTCTTCAGGATTTGTGATATGTTATTACATTCCCTCCTGGCTTATAGGTTTCTGCTCAGAAATTTGTTAATAGGGTTGGTCTTAAATATGACTTAGCATTTCTCTCTTGCAGATTTTAAAATTCTTTTTTTTGACCAGTATTTTTTACTATAGTATGTCATGAAGAAGATGTTTTCTGATCATATTTATTTGGGGTTCCAAAAGCTTCTTATATATAGGTGTCCATGTCATTCCCAAGATTAGGGAAGCTTTCTGCTATTATTTCTTTAAACAGAATATCTAGCCAGGCGTGGTGGCCCATGCCTGTAATCCAAGCACTCAGGAGGCCAACGCAGGAGGATTGTTGTGAGTTCAGGGCCACCCTGGGCTACAAAGTGAGTTCAAGACCAGCCTGAACTGCATAGTGAGACCATGTCTCAAAAAGACAAAAATAAAAATAAAAAATAAAAAAAATATAAAGAATATCCTTATCCTTAACTTTTATTTTCTCACCTTCAGGTATTCCAGTGATATGGATGCTTATTTTCTTAATGATATCCCAGAGATCTTGAATGATCTCTTCATTTTTTTTCTGTCTGAGTAGTATATTTTTAAAAACTTTCTTCAAACTCAGATATTGTTTCTTGATCTAGACTGTAGTTGAGGTTTTCAGTTGGTGTGTGTTTGACACTGAGTTCTTTATTACCGAGATTTCTGTTTATTTTTCAAAATCTGTATCCCTTGCTACATTTTACATTCCTATCCTATCTTCCTAACTTAACTATCATTTGTATTGTTGTAAATCTCATTAAGTTCTCTTAAGATCATACTTTTGAAGTCCTTGTCAGACATTGTATCTATCTCAATTTTTTAAATCTGTCACTAGAGAATTAATGATACTTTGGAGGTGTTATATTACCTTGCTTTTTCCATATTTTTTGTGTTCCTACTTTAAGATTTATAGTGGCTCAGATATCTTTAAAACATTTTTGGGATAACCTTCTTCATAAGTAGCTTTCTCCTGAAGATGTGCCTTTGGGTATCTGTTTGTTATGCAGTATTAATTTTATTCCAGCTGGGCACTGTAGTGTAGTCTCCCGTAAAACTTCCTCGACCATGATCAGTGAGTTTCAGTGCCCTGTGTACTGTGTCAGAGTTGGAGAGATACACTGTCTTTGTAGGTCACGTAAAAGTTGAACCACTAGCAGTTCAAGCAGGTATGGTATGGACAGCGGCGTGTGTGTGGTACATCTTCATGGCTACTCCTTCAATGGAAGTGGTGGCCCCTTTCAGATGAAAAAATTTCCTCAGCCAGTGTTGGTGTTGGCTCTCTTACTTGCAAGGGTCTCTGACAAAGGCTGTACAAGTAATGGTGATGTGCCTGAGGCATTTGCCCTCCAGTGAGATAGTGCTATGAGCCCTGGTCCATCGTGAAGAGAGACAGTGCCAAGAACCACAGCAGTCCCACTGTGGTTCTCACACATACTCCTGTCCGCAGTGAATGGTCAGATAGGGGCAGCCTGTGCTGAGAACTGCACAGGTGTGATAGAGTTGTGGTGTTCCTATCTGCTCCTGCTGTGGAAGTACCTAGCCTCTGTTCCTGTGTCACACCACCAGTCTCCCAAGTGCTGGGTGCCCGGTGGGTTTTAATCAGTCACTCTATTGGGCCACGTCTGGTTCCCAGGGCAACACTGAGCCAGACCAGTGAAATGCCTGTTGGGGGTCCCAGATGTGATATATGTAGGAGTTTCTGATCTCTATAGTAGTCCAAATTCAGACAAGTGTTCCCTTCTAAGACGGCTCTTGACTGTAGCACCCTGGGGGTTGACTGAGGGATGATGTAAAATCTTTTTCCCAAAGCAAACTAATGTGTGGATTGTAGGCTAATTGCCCAATTAAGCTGCTCACCTGTGAGGGCTGTGAAACTCTCCAATAGCTAGGACTGCCAGCACCCAGGCTGATAATTTTCTGGGACTCTCTTTCACCCTTACCCTGCAGAAAAGAGACTTTTCCTCCCCCAGTGTAAATCCAGGGTGGCAGGTGCCAGGTTATTTTGTTTCACTTACTATACCATTGTCCCAGGTCTCTGGATCATACAGTATTCCAGTTTCTCTCCTTGTGACTTCCAGTGTCCTCCCATAATCACTCACCTTAAAATGCAGCTACAGACCTTTTGCTTTGACTTTTCTTTGTGGGGGATCAGTTAAGAGCTGGATGCTCCTATTATCCACCTACCTATCTCTTATCTAAGACATTCATCTCTCAAATGAACGTCCCCAGGCACAGGATAAGAGGCAAGGATTGGGACAGAGATGCATTTAAAGAAGTGCAAATCCATGGCTCTTACAGTGAAGGTAAGGGCATCTAAGAGTCAAGTGCCTATTATTTAATATTATACCCACAATAAACACGGAATAGATGAAAAACTTCCTAGTGATGAGTAATTAGTCTTATTCCTAATTGTCAAGGATAATATGTTTAGTGATATTTTTCTTCCTTCCTTTTCAGTGCTAGGGACTGAACCCAGGGCTTCACACATGCTAGGCAAGCATGCTAGTGCTCAGTTGCTTCTCCCCCATATTCCTCCAGCCTTTTTTGTGGCGGTGGTGGGGTACTGGGGATGGAACCCAGATCTTCACACTGAGCCACATCCCTAGTCCTTTTTAAACTTTTTTGAGACAGAGTCTTGCTAAATTGTCCAGGCAATTGAACTTGCAGTCCTCTTCCCTCAGCCTTCTGGAGCGCTGAGATTACAGTCATGCACTACCACACCCAGCTTTTATTTTGTTTGAGATAAAGTTTCACTAGTCTTAGGTCTCACCAGCTTAAGGTGATATTTCTAAAGAACATAGAAATTAAAGGACCCTAAAAGAGATCTAATCTAGAGCCCCTGTTCTGAAGTTGGAAAAATTAAGGCTTGGAATAAAATCATTACCCTAATGTCATACTGACTGGGAGTAAAATTTTTAGCTTGTCAATGTCAGGATTACTACTACAATTTTTAGCTACTTGTTCCCAGTGTAACATTCCTTCCATTATGTCATAGGATAAAACATCTTTTTCATCAGTGTAAATAACTAGAATACAATTTTCACATCCTGAATATAGCAGAGTAGTCTTAGTGTAATAACTGGGACTCAAAGGTGACCTAATTTAGCCCCTTATTTTGCAGAGGAGAAAAATGTGGTGCACAATGTTAAATGACTCGTTAGCCAGTTAGAGAAACAACGTTCAAGTTCTGGTGTCCAGATCCCCAAATTCCATGTGATGCTGAAGTATACTCGCATGCTTAAAACTGATTTGCTCTGTGTACATCGATGTACGTAAGCCTCCAAACGTGGGCAGCAGGAAATGTTTATTTACATACAAGTACATGGGGAAGCGATTTCCATTCAGCTTTTTAAAAAAATTGTTACAAATAAAAATTTTGTTAAATACATTCATTCTCTGCAGACAAAATACATTCTTTGTACTTTTACTCTCATTATGAATTACTTCTTAGTAACAAAAGCTTAAGCTACAATGAACAATCAAGTGGTTTGACAATTTAACAATCTTTTTTTCCAAGAAGGTAGATCCAAACTTTAAAAGAGTCAGTATATAATAGAAATTGTACCTTAAAAATGCTCCTTCACGAATCCTGAAAGACTGAATGAGTACTCCTCTCCAGCATTGCTTGTAGCTATCCTTAAAAAGCAATGCAGAAGACTTTAGAAATTCCATGATGACAACACAGTTTCTGCAGTCTTCATGAAATTAATCACATCTAAAGACGAGCTCATAGAAAAATTCTTACTGATACATTGGAGGGGGTCTTCTAAGTGATTAACTGAACTAAGATCATAAGTTCCATTTTCCAAATAGAACATGAAGCGTTTCTATTTAATACAAATAACTTAATTTGTTAAGCAAATTGCTTTTAAGAGATGTGAAAAACATATGCCCACATAAAAAAGTTACATACATCTTTATAGCAGCATTACTTATAATAGCCAACAAGGGAAAACACCCAATGTCCATCAGTTGATGGAAAAATAAAGTGTGCTATATACATACACTGGAATATTACTTAGCCATGACAATAATGTATTGATTCATACAACAAAGATAAGCCTTGAAAACATTATGTTAAGTGAAGCCAGACACAAAAGGCCACAGGTTGTAGGATGTATTTATATGAGATGTCCATAGAGACAGAAAGCAGATTACTTGTTGTCAGATGCACTTAATGGACAGAGTTTTTGGAGGGATGACGACAAGTTCTGAAGTTAGAATTGCACAACACAGTGAATATACTAAAACACTGAATTTTATACTTTAAAAGAGTGAGCATGTAATGTGTGAATTATATCTTAATTTTTAAAAAGATAGATACAGCTCTATTTTAAAAATTTTGTTCAGGTTCCTATTCCCTTTCTATTTCCCCTTTTTAAAATATTGGTTGAAATTTTCATAAATCGCTTTTCTACAGAATGTTTTCAGCTAATTGCACTCAAGTAATCAGTGGCTTAAATTTCTAACAAGCTTTTCGTTAAGTAAAAAAAGTACTACATGGATACATAGAACATACATTGTACTGTTAATATTTGCATATTAACATTTAAAATCAAGTACTATGCTTATACTGAAGCTGATACTTAGATTTTATATACTGATACCAGATTTCACTGAGATCCTATGCATAAAACCAATAGCCAAAGATTAAGAATTGAGTTTATAAAACTCAATGATTAACCTATGTGTTAAAACTGTATGTTAAAGATCCATCTTTTAACAGAGACAAAAGAGGGGGGTTAAGGATTCTTTAAATCCCCATAAAGCAGCTTCTGTAAATGTTTTAACTAGCTGCTGAGATCTCCAAAATTATATTTTTTTGCATTTTATTTCATCCCTATACTAAAAGTCATGCATTAAAGTGTGTGCAACAATACATATGGGGCACACTTTTTTTCCCCTTTAAATTATCAAAATGCTCTCTTAATTCTTCATTAGCTGAGATTTTGAGCATTTTTAAAAAATTTTTGCTGGAAACAGCAATTTTACTCATGCACTAGTTCAAATACATTTGTGTAGCTTCTTTGTATACCAACCATCAAAAGAGCGCCAACTATCTGTTAAGTCTAGAGGACACGGCAGTGCATACAAACTCAGAGCCAGCGTTCCAGTCATTTGAAGTTTTCTACAACAGAGACATGAGATCCCCAGCAAGTCTTAAATCAGAAAATTTGTAACTAAAACTCTTTATAGTAAACCTATTGTCATTCATTGTCAAATAGTCTACGGGAAAGTTCCGCTAGCATTCTGTAATTAAGTAGAACATGAGAATATTTATTCTTAATGATTACATTCCAGAAAGCAATATGTTAGCAGCTGTTTTTCAGAGGGCTTGTCAAGTTTATTGTTACTTAATCCAGGCATAACTGTATAAATTTAAACAAAAGCTGTGCACTGTTCAGTCAACCAGTAAGTTACTCTGATCATATTCTTTTGTTATTTGGTACATGAAATTCGCTTTTGTTAGGCATTTGGTACTGATTTTTACTTCAGAAGGTAATGTACAGGGAGAGGGGGGTGAGGGACCCTTTAGATGTTGGTAACTACATTCATCAAATAACACCACATATGAAATTAAATTCTAGAACCGTATCACGTAAGTGGGATTCATGATGCCATTTTTATTGAAGGATGGAAGCAAGAGCCACACAATCAGAATTATTCTTCGGGAGCATACTTCATGATCAACTGTATGGTATAACAAAGGAAGAAAACTACATGTATAATTGTAGCGTTGCTCAACAGTAAGATTATGATGTAAATCAGATACCAGTAAGAAGGTAGGAGTTAATAAGTACTACCTGTCCTGACAGTTACCAAGGGAATGATGATTATCAATTAGTGAGCTTTTTCTATTAGGTTTTTAAAAATTAGGTAAAATGGCAATTAGTAAGTGGCAAATGTGGCTCCTGAAAAAAGTAGAAATCAATCCATTTTTCTTCCCATAGAGAATGGGATCCAGAAAGAGGTTTAAATTGTACTGTGAGGTATTTCAGTTCTCTGATTGAGTTTCCTGATAATAAGGAGTTTACAACCCTGGAATTGCCGAGAAAGAGGGAGGGGGAGACAGAGAGACAGAAACAGAGAGAATCTTCCAGAAGTATGTAAAGAAACTGGGGGATGACAGCAATGCCCCAAAGCAGATTAGATGACTTCCTTTTAAGGAACTCTTCTGAAAATGGAGTTCTTTTCTTTGAAGCCAGGAAGGTTTTCTTTTGTCCCTCAAGTACCAATATCTGCACCATATTATGCAAAATGTATGTATCTTATTGAGATGGCATCTTGCTGTGCTGCCCAAAGCTGCTCCCAAAGTGATCCTCCCACCTCAGCCTCCCAAGTAACAGGAACGACAGGCGCAGGCCACCACATCCAGCTCCACAGTCTTTTCTTAATTAAGGAAAAAAGAACTGATATTGAAGTCCTTACTGTTTACTGAGCACTGTACTTTCAATTTATTTAACTGAATTTCACGATAATCCTGTCAGGTCTGTCTCATAGAGAAAGAAACTGATGCTCGAGATATTGTGCTTTGCCTAAAGCCACGGATAGTTTGTGCAACCTGAGTCAGCGTCTGCCCTTCTCTGTACCTCCCTGCATCGCTCTGAAGGTCAGTCACCACCTCCACAAGATGCACCACGCATTGAAAACAGAACCTCCAAAAATTCTTTAAACCAGTGGGAAAGTAAAATTTTGACTCATACAACTTCTGGAAATGACCAGCCTCTGTGATGTGACTCTTACGAAAGGAATTGGAGCAGTTCTCACCCAAACTCAAGTATGCAGACCAATGACTTAAACAACAAAAAAAACTAATGAAGAACCATTTATCAGCCAAGCAAGAATGCAAATTATTTTCAGGTGGAAGCATTTGCATCATGGGCTTTCTTACCAAAATTGCTCACAGATTCTCATTTTAATTGAAAGATCTAAGGCCTGGGAGTGTAGCTCAGTTACAGTGCTTGCCTAGTATGTACAAGGCCCTGCATTTGATCCCGAGCCCTGTAAGGGAAAAAATCAAGTACTGTACCTATGTTTTATTACTTTCTACATAAAACAATTTCGACTCAGTTCTTTTCAGTGTACTTTCTCAAGAGAATGAAGGGAACCCACCAAGAGTCATTGAGGGTTTTCTAAAATAGATCTTGAGGACTACTTTATGTCCATACCCCACCAGCCTGTCTCACGGGAGCTGTAAAAACTTCATGTTGGTTTGTTTGTGGGATCTTTAATGGAAGATTCTGCTCTGCAAAAAGGCCTATCCTGAAGAGACAGCATTATTCATTAAACTGAGGTGTATAATTTTTATTATTTCATTTCTACTATAACGACGCCTTTAAAAACAACTCAGGAAATAGTTTGTGCTCTCTTCGAGACACCAAATGGACTGACAAAGCATGGCAGCTTATGGCATCATAGCAGGCCAGTCTCTTGGCCTAATAACCCACCTCTTTCCAGAAGGGTGGGTGCATCTGTGGCGGGAAAGCAAAGCCCTTTATAAAAAATTAGTAGCTGCGGGTCAACAGATACTTAATTGAACGTGTTATGAGGGACAAAGCACCTCAGTATGTAATTTTAAGTTAATAAGCCATGCAGTCCAATCCCCTGCCAACATCTGCATCCTCCCTAATCCTCTTTGCCAAATTCTTTTCTATCCGCTCTCTGCTTGACAGAGGCTATTGCTTGAGGTGAAACCTTCCATGAGCAACCAAGTTTTTGAGGAAGTTCTCCCTGACATAGGACCTAACCCTGCGGCTCTGTGCCCTCTATTCAGTCAGCCTCATTCCACCTCTTCGAGCTACAGAGCATCTTGCTGTAATGTCCTTGTTATATTCCCTTCTCCCAGAGTAAGTCTCATACAATCCTCCTAGTATTTTTCAAATATCTTAAAATTTAAATTTCTTCACCAGGCTATTTATTCCTCAATTTGTTTGAATTTCAACATCTGGCCCCAAGAATGAGTGTAACATTCCAATATCACAGAACGTATGAAAGGAGATGAAGTGCCATCTCCCCAGCATTACTGTACTGGTGGGTTGAAGGAATAATTCGGTATAAAGAAATTACCAGTGTGTGTAATACAAGGGAAGACAGCTTTCCTTTCAAACACAAACAGGTTCCTGGCAGAAATGAGATCCAAGAAGAAGAAGAGAACATACATCTTCCTTTATTCCCAAATTAGTGTTTAACTACACTACTTAAGTGGAATATATGTAGTCAGAAGGGTAAATTGTAAATGTTCATTTCTTTTCATTATCTAGCTAAATCTCGTTAAGTATTATTACAATTACATCAAAACACACTTGTCAAGACCATGGCTGAAGAAAGTAAACAGCCAACCTCATTTAAACAACACCACCACAAAAAATGTTGGAAAAAAGAAATGGTAAACCCAAGAGCTTTTCCAGATGCTAATGAGGAAGTGATCCATAGGTATTTATGACCATAAAGTACAGCGTTCCAAAGGATTAAGAAATATCTTGAAGGTCATTGGTCTGATCTGATAATTATGACATTGCCCTCTGGCTTAGTTTATTAAAAAATGTTTCACTCTAATCAGAAGAACAGTTCAAAATAGTTTACATCTGATATTTATTCAGAATGAGTTATAAACTAAAACTTGATGCTGGGCCTGGAGGGATTGTGGGATAGTTTAAAGGATAGATGAAGTAAACCATCCACGTCAGAGGTCCTTTCAAGGTATATGTTCAATAGAAGAGGAAAGACAAAGAATCCAGTCCTCTGTTGGATCTGCTCGCTTCCTCCAACAAATCTAAACTGCTTAAAATAACCCCATACAAAGACTTTACTTTGCTTAGTGGTTTCTACTCTACTAAACTCTAAATCCCAATCTGACACACTGTTTAGTCAACCCACTTCAGCCTCATTTTTAATTATTTCCTTACCACTTTACTCAGGGAGAGATGTTAACATAAAATGACGAGTAGACAGGGGAAGGAAAGGCCAGGAAAAGCCAACGGCTTAACCTAAATAAGCTGCAGAAAAGATAGTTGGCTCTATATAATAAAAAATTAAATGTTAATATAATTCAACAGATCTAATAAAAACACACAGGAACATACATGTTGTATACGCAAAGGAGAAAGCATAAAATCCTTTGCAGGTAAGCCTACAAATCCATAATACAATTAATATCAGCAAATCATCTGATTTCACAACCTTTTCCCAGGCCTCACTCTATAACATGAATATGTGTTTTCACTGGAAACTGAACCGTGCTTTGCCATGTTTAATAACTTTTTTAAAAGAAGAAAAGATCACACCCCAAATGGAAAAAGACACTGTCTATAATGTGTTTTGTCAGCTCAAGCCCAACTAAATTATGATAAAGCAACTCATTTTTCATCCCCCTGAATCTGTTTTTATCTAAAGAAGGTGCCTCTCAGCAAATATTGCCCTGACAATAAGAACCAATAGGTTTAGGTTCTGCCCTTTGTTAAGATAACTTCATTTAGTGTCATCTCACGTACTACTTGCAGGAATTTCTATTTAATAAAAAAAAAAAAGCCTCACTTGACACAAGATCATTTGTTTAGCCAATCTACATTGCACCTACAATCTTATCAGGGTTTGTTATCAAGCTTGAGGTACACCAGTGCACAAATGTGCATAAGGCCAAATCTGAAATTCATGTAACTAGTGAAAAAAGGAAGGAAGCCTCACATTCTCCTGCGTGCCTGCAGATGGGCCGTGGCGGGTGACTGTTAGCTACAGAATGACTAGGAGGAGTAACAGAGAATAAAGAGGCCAAGAACAGAACTCTCTAAGCCCTCTGTGAGTCTGCCCAAAGACAGACAGAGGTAAGCCTTAGGGAGTAAGAACCCCAGACTACAAGTGTGGCCTTGAAGCTATTATTTTAGAACTAATTCATTCACTCTAACAAAGCCATCTTCTCTTAAGTTCACAAAATGACCTTATTTTTAACACATTTGCTTCTATGAGACAAACTTGGGTCATTCTGTGGTGGGCACACTGGATTTTTGCCCTAAAGAAAGGTAATAAATTTAAACATTAGGCCATTTCCTCAGAGTTTAAAAAGTTAAGTTCTTCTGCTCACTTGATTATTTTCTGATACCTTTAGCTGTTGGCTTAGTGGAAAAGATGTGGAGGAAAAGCAGGAATAATTATAAATTATTTTGTCTTTTATTAAGATGATTTTTCTTTCCTACAGAGAGAGATTCTAGAAGAAAGACAATTCAAACTTCTGGGATCTCTTTCCTCTTTCCCATACAACCAGGAAAAACACAATGAGGCCAATTAGAAATATCCACTCCTAAACAATATATATAATCCCCTGTGCAAGAGACTGGTCATTCTGGAATCTGCTGGAGAAAGGTTGAAAATGCTTTATCAATACCATCAACTATATGACTCATTACCTCACAATTAAATAGCTCTCAGACATCAACGTATCAGGTCCAAGATTGTCACCATCTACAGCAACAGCAGAATTACGTATCATATCCAAATTTTCTTACCCCCCATTTATGCTAAGCAGCAATCTACAGAAACATCTGATAGCATCAACAGCATACAGGTTTAATTATTTTCCCAATTTGCAATTATATCAGTGAACAAATTGGAAGAATTCAAAGCATGGCACTGGAGAAATAGGAACACATATTCAGCAGCACATCTTCCGTTTTGATCCTGTTTTAAAATTGGCTAAGAAAAGGCATATACACCTCCATTTGAATTGGAGATTTGCACTAATGCATGCGAATCAAGATGGGAGGGAAGGAAGAGGGTAGGGGAAAAGGAAAGAAGGATCCAAAGCAGAGACCAAGAAAGAGAGGAAAAGAGAAAGAAATACGAAAGCATGTATGGTTGTGAGTCTGAGAGTAACATTACAAAGAGAGGGTCAATGACAGCTCAACCTGCTTCTACAAGCAGAACTTTTCTAAGGTTACTGAAGATACAAAAATGGTTTGTGAGACTTTTCATCTGCTGCTATGCTCACTTATCATACTAAAAATATCTATAAAATCCTAAGCCTTGGTTTATCCAAGAAGGCTAGTACCAGGAAGTAAAAGATGTAACCAGTTAGCAAGGACTGTGCTCTGCTTGGAACCCTGCTTTGCAGTCCATTAATCCACAGTATTTGGTCATATCTGGTCTGTTTTCTCATACGACTCATAATGTCTTAGAACTAATGTTTTATCTGAGAATATCATCAACCATTTGTTTGTTTTTTTTTTCATTTTTCAAACTTTTGTTTGTTAAAAGTCAGGAAAGATGAGAGAATGGAAGAAAAGTTAAAGAACAGATTTAAAGGGGAACATGAAAGAGAAAGTATTATCTTTTCCAACAAATCTAGCCTAGAAAAGGTAGTAACAAAACTTTGAAAAAGAGTTCTGATTCATGGACTTCCTCATTTTTTTTTATTCTAGGTGATACATGTAAGGACATGTGTCATACTAAAATGTTTGGTCTGTGAAGTAGTGGAATCATTAGCACCAAAAGGAATCATGGAGCTTGTAATTATTATTAAAACAATGATTGCTACTGTTGGTCATGGGTAAAGGTTTCATTTCATTTTTACATCCCAAAGTTTTTGAAAGTGCCTGTGGACAAAAGAAATAACACTTTTCAAAATCTCCATGGGTCATCAGTACACACCACAGAGACAGTACTTGCCTTCCCAGTTAGGGTTTATCTGGTAGACAAGAACACCAGGGCCACTAGAAGATTACCGCTGAAGCCCTTGAAGAACAGCCCCACATGCACCCACTAACGTGCAGGAGGGCCTACAGTACATTTCCCCCTGGGCTGTCAGGAATGCACTTTTACTTGCTTTTTAAAAAAACAAAAGCAACATGCTCTGCAGATCATGGAGTGCCTAGTGCAATTTTCTCCTTGTTCCAACTCCAGACTGCAAAAGGGTGAAACCATTGTATGTTCTGCTAACGCAGGCCTGTGGACAAGGCCCTTGGCCTGCCACGCTTTGTAAGCTCAGGAGCCCACAGGAGTCAGAAGGTCCGAGAGCCGGAGCCACAGTCATCGCCAGATCTCTCCAGCAACTTGTGGCCCATCAAGGCAGCTGCTGATTCCTTTTGCTTCTCCTCGCTTCAGCCTTTAGTTGAAATTACAACAAGTCAAATAGCTGATGCTTTTTCCCTCTCCAGGTAAAGGTGAGGATACATTGTTCACCAGTGTGTTCTGTCTGGCCTCGCTGATGAGTCGGCATGCTAAGTCAAGGAAGAGTTTCTCCACATTATCAGACTCCTTAGCTGAGGTCTCCAGATAATACATGTCCTGGGCTTCTGAGAATTCTTCAGCTCTCTGCTGGGAGACCTCTCTCCTTTCAGCCAGGTCAATCTTGTTGCCTATAATAGTGGTAAAATCAAGAAACAATCATTATTTGACTTTTTACAGGATCAAAAGCTTCAAAATTCAATTCTAGATCTGAAATGAAACCAGACAGATCAGCGAGTAAAGCAAAGCAAATTAATTATGATTACTGAAGTGGGTATTTTAAAGTATCAGTGCACCATTTGTAATGGCAAAGAACTGAAAACAACCCAGACACCAACCAGCAGGACACTAGCTGAATCAACCATGAGACATCCACACAGGGGAGTATCTGCCCCAGGAAAAGGCAATAGAAGTATTCCTACGTACAGAAATGAAGTGAGAACACTGGGATATACTGTTAAGTAAAAAAAAAAGGCAGAAAAATATGTAATTTACTACACACACGCACATTTATTTGCTACTTCTTTTCTTAGGGAAAAATAAATCAAAATCTTAATTTAAAGATAATAATTACCTACAAAAGGGTCAGTGTTGAGGGGATGAAAGCAGACACCAAAACCTCTCAATATACTTTGTTCTATAGATTTTTACTTCAGACATTTACAGAATTTTATATACTTTATAATAACAATTATGCAATTAATACAAATTAAACTTTAAAAAGCAATCCTTGAAAATTGAAAGTGAAATTAATTATGTTCATTACGTAGTGGTATAAGCACACAGCATTTCATGTAAATGGAGATGCAGTAATTTGCCATGTATCCTTAAATATATACACTAAAGACAAAAAAGGACTGAAGGAAAATGTCTTGAAGTGTTTCACCGTTTTGGTGGTGGTGTGCTGGTATAATTTTATGAGGCTCTTATATATGTACAAACATTATGGGATACCGCAAATATGTAATTATGGTGGTGTGCCGGGGACTAGGATTTTTAGCATGAGAAAGAAGAAATACAGATATATAGTTAAGGAAGTAAAATTTCCACAGTCCTGAATTATAAATGGCAGTATCAGCATGAATAATTCATGGTATATTTTATCTTTAAAAAGTTTTCCATCTCTACTCTCCAGGATACTTGACAAAGATGATTTGTCAACTCTGTTATCTGTCAACACTGCTTAAATGACCTGACTGATAAATTACTCTGGCTGGGGAGTTCTATGTATGAATTATAAATGCCTAATGGAATGCCACAGCTCTGGGCTTCCCTGAGTGTACAAATTCTTCACTTAAAGAGATCCTGAAAGTTTCGCCTATGGAGCTATTATAAGAGATGATGGCCCCTGGGGAGTACTGACGCTTCTCGTCCAGGGCAGATCCAGTACTTACCTGAAGTGAACCTTGTTTCCTGACACCTGAATTGTTCCGGGAAAGGGAGGATCCTGGGAAGCCACATGGACTACCGTGAGTGCTACTTCTAGTGAAGAGGCCTGCTCATTCTGACCTGCTATTACCCAGGTTTGTTGTCCTGTATCCTTCTAAGTGAATGTGATCCCAAATATGGCTACAGTAGTCTTGTGAGTCAGGACACCTAGTAGAACCTAATGAATCAACCCTCTCATGGATGCTATCTATAATTTTAGCCATACACACATACACATACAAGCTCTTACCTCTGAAAAGCCTAAAAACAATGACCCAGTCAGGAGGACTGTGGCCTTTACACTTCCCATTAAAAAGGAATAGCACTTCTTAAATAAATGGCTGATTCCAGGTCTGGGGCAAGAAATCCGTGAGATATATATGGAATAGTTGTCATTCCCAAAAGCAAGAAAATTATCAACTATTCAACGGATCATGTCAAAAGGACCCAGGAGCCCATATGAAGAAGCTTCTACTATCAAAGCTGGAAATGGAGCACCAATATTAATAACTGCTAGGAATTAGGATACACTGAATATTCAGGTTCATAAGTTCATATTATAAAAAATAAGTTCATATTATGTTAAAATACAAAATTTCTATAGTTACTTTTGGAATATCCTTATGAATCAACTCATCACCTTGAAAAGTGATAAAAAATAATCTAGCATTTTTACTTGTGTTATGACTTCTACCTGAAATACCGCATGTGGAGTATTTTGCTACAAATAAAAGTTCTGAATTTCATTAGCCCTCTAGATTTATCTAAAAATCTGTGGTAACAGATGATAAAAGGACATGTTAAATGACACCACAGGGTAAAATGTCAGAATTTAGACTTGTAAATTCTATGGGACAAACAAATGCTCTAACAAATTCCAAAAAAGAAAAAATGGAGGGAGAATGTACATACAGATGAAAGGAGAAGGAACAGGTGTAATTATGAAGTACCACATACGAACTTTATTTGGACCTTGTTTTGAAATATTTTATGTTTTAAAATATTATCACTCAATTAGGAAATCTGATCACTGTCTGAATTTTTGATGCTGCTAAGGGATTGTTAATAATTTTTGGATGTAAACGTGGCATTGTGGTTAGGTTTTCTTTTTTTTAAAAAAAGTCTGTATTTTAGAGATACACGTATACTCTATACCCAGAACGATACACTTCATTCCATATAGTCTGGGTGGGGAAGGTGCACAGGACAGATGGAGAACACATAAAAAATGAGACTGGCCATGAGTCAGTTGATAGTTGTGGAAGGGGAGAGATAACTGTGGGTACGTGGGGACTGAGGGCGGAGCTCAGCGGTAGGACACGTGCACAGCATGTAAGAGGTTCAGTCCTCACTGCTGCAAAGGACAGAGAGGGACAGACATGCACATATGCATTTCCTGTAGTGTCTTCTCCACCTATGTTTGAAATTTTCTATACTAAAAGTTCTTGTATGTAGTCAATCCATCTTTCATACCGAACTAATTATCTTACTGCAAATCTTCATTTACCTTTCTTAGATAAAATTCCAAGTAGTCAGGCAAAGTTCTCAAAGGCTTTCTGCGAAACCTAATAACAGCCTAAGTTCAGGGCTGGGGTCTTTCAAATGCTTCATGTCAAAGGTTTACCACTGTACATAAGGGTTTTCTAGTTTAGACATGGAGCACTAGCTCATAAAGAGGCAGCTACTTAACCCAGCCTGAAAGGAAAGTCTAGTGATCTGTTACAAAGTAGCATGTGACAACTGGACATTAGGGGACACAAGGAATTGATCTTACACCTGTATGACCTGGGACAAAACGTATCACATCTCTAAGCCAGCCTTGGGTTTCCCACCTGTAAATCAGGGATCATGACATGTAAAGTTCTTAGTATGACTTCTGACACATAAATACAAGTTGCAATGCTTATTCTGCAGTGTTCACTTCACTTAATGTTAGCCATAATTTGTAGCTTAACAATGGCTCTGAGGTTCCCATACTTATAAATTCAGGTCCTATTAGACTATACAGAATTCCTTCCTAGGAGGAAGACAATTTAACAATATATAGTTTTTCAACACTTTTCCATCACGATTAGAGGAGCTTGTTTTACTGCAACTGCACTTTTAATGGGTGTTTTTGTAACCACAGAAAATCCAGGATTATTTTCTATCCCCTCTCCCCATGGTAAAGAGGTTATATCCTCCTACAAGATGAAACAAATTGCAGCATTTCCCTGAGTAGATTCTCCCTGAAACATAGAATTTCTAAAATCAGCATAGATGTCACAAGGGGAAAAAGTTAACCAAAGTCTGTTTTTTAGGTAATAAACTATTGCTTCAATAATCAAGTCCGTATCAATTTAAAAGATACATTTTACTTTTAGACTAGTAGTTCTCATCATCTTGTAACTAGATTATTTTACAAATGTACAGCAATCCATATAACTTTCATGACCATGCAACTTCTGCCTTAGTGCCTGTCTTTACAGAAAAATCAATCAGCAATGTTTTCTACTTCATTTGTCTAAACCATCACCGTGAAACAGAACCTATTTCATAGTCTCTTCAATTACAAAAGAACTAAATGTTGACCGTATGACTTTTATAGTTAGAGAATAGATTCCTGGAAGTACCAAGGCACAGGCATGCATTATGTAATTATAAATTTTCTGATGCCCACAAATCAATTTCCTTCCTCATTCGTCCTTACGTACCTACTAACACAGTGATGACCTTGTTGCTAGCATATTGTTCTATCTCCCGCAGCCACTCGGGAAGGCAACGGAAGGATTCCTCACAGGTAATGTCATAGGTAAGGATCAGGGCATTGGCGCTTCGGTAATAACTCTGGGTAATGGACCGAAATCTCTCTTGACCTGCAGTGTCCCAGATCTGGAGCTGCAAAGGCATCAGAGAAGGATCAGGTTGGAAAAGCAGAAAATAAAAGAGCATTGCCTTGCTTTTGCTTTTACATGGAACCACTTTCACCCAAAAAATTTTATGGAACCATTTTGCACCCAAATAAATTTATATTCGTCCTAAATAAAGCATTTGCAATACATTATTGTTAGGGGTTTCTGGTTAGGAAGAGAGGCATATTTTTAAGGGTTTTTTTTTTTCCTTTTCTATTTAAGAGTTCTCTCATTCTTAAAGTAAATAAAACTTACTGAGCATTTATTATGTCCCAAGCTCTACTCTAAATACTATATGCTGTAACTCAGTCCTCATGATAATCTTACGAGGTAGGTACTATTACAATACTCATTTCTCAGAGGAAGAAAATAAAGCACAGGGAGATTAATTCACTTGCTCCCTGTCTTGCAGACAACTGAGCCAGCTATTGTGGTCCCCAGTACCGTGCTCTTTTTTTTTTTTTTGGTACTGGGAATCGAACTCAGGACCTTGCACTTGCCAAGTAAGCACTTATGCCGCTGAGCTATCTCCCCGGCTCTCGTGCTCTTCAGTGTAAGACTGTATTACAAAAGTTGTCATACGGAACAAGCTGTCAGTCTGTAGCCATTGGTATTTTAGTCAACAGTCAATGAGGGAGAAAATCCAACCTCACCAACATTTCCAGTTCAAAATTCTAACAAACATAACAAAGTATTATCTTTGTTAATGAAAATAGGAATAATGCCATGACAGACAAATAATAATTTCCTTTCAACACTCTTGAGCTCCAGGACTTTGGGCATATAACTTGATCTCTTTGAACTTCAGTTGATTCTTTGAAGGGGGCAGGATAATCTGCAGCCTGCTGCAAGTTCACTTTTCTAACACCATCTGCTAGCTCTAAAACATAGTAAGCAATGGTTTTAATAACAAAGAAGGCAAAATACTTCTCACCTGTCCTACTTCAGTTTCTCTGCCTGTAAATGAAAGAGAACTATACTCCAGGGAGAGTTGTGGATACACAGAAAATTACACAGCGCCTTGAGAAACAAGATCAGCAATAGTAACTTCCCCTTTAACTGTACAGATTTCACATGTCAGTTACCAATGTAGAAACACCACCATTTCCTCAGGGAAAGCCTTTCAGACTTGGCCGGGTTTCCCATCTCCCAGCCCACACTGCTTTGCAACACATCGGCCTTCTCCCTCATGGCACCTCACACATGTGAAGGATTCGCAATAAATTAGTTTATGCAGATATCTCCCCCACTTGATTCAAAGCCTCATGCGGAGAGCAGGAGGGCAGGGTTCCCTACTCACCTAATACAGTTCCCAACAAAGAACACATGTTCAGATATTTACTGATGATATTTTAATCTTTGCAACTACTGACTGAGTCAGGAAAGTTGAATGGAAACTGTCTCCTAACCGGTTCCCCACAAAGCCGGGAATCAACATTAGCCCCTCCGTGCCCAGCTGAGGACTCACTTTGTCGCCTTTGTACTACACTAACGTAACCATACTTGTATCCAGAGGATGAGTGAGTGTTACCCTCTGCTTGGGCCAGTTTAGCTGGAGACTAATGAACGAACAGACTCTCCTTCAGTTTGAAGTTGGAACCACTCTTTGATGATGTGCATGAAAATCTGTATGCTAAAGGTCAGTGGTTTGTGCTCAGACAAACGCTATTTGCCTCCACTGTCTCAAACCAAGGGATGTGATTCTCTTCTGTCTGGATGTACCTTAGAACACAGGAAATTGTTTAAAAGCCCACGGACCCTCTACAACACTTGTGATTGGATTTAGATACTGCCAATCATCAGGAATTTGTATGCTTTCATTAATGGCACATCTTGTGAACAGCTTTGAGCCCTAAAATATTTTCTAGGAGAGTGCCAAGATATATGCTACTTTCTCCCAGGGGGCTGCTTCTAGCCTGACAGCTGATTATTTAAGGATGTTCATATTCCACTGTCTTTGTCACTCAGCTTCGCCTCGCCATTCTCTCTAATGTTTGCCTCTTTTCAGCATTCAGAGGACATTTTTCTGCATTCAGAGGGAACTGTGCTAGGTGCAGGGAGAGTATCAGAAGAATGAAATACAATCCCTGATCTCAAAGAGCTCACAGTTTACAAAGAGGGCAAATCCACAGTTAATTAACTACAGTACAATATGAGATGTCCTATTACAGAGGCACCAGAAGGACAATGTTTCCTAACGTTAGTCTCCTGCCTGCCAATATATTTTCAATGCTGCAGCCCTAGACCTTCTAAGCACTCCCACCTCCAGCATGGGGCTGTTATTCTTCTTTGTACAACTACTTAACCTGTATGGCCTCATTGTGACAATCATGTATTGTTCTCACTAATTTACTAGTCTGTCCCCTTACTAGATGAGGTTCTTTGAAGACCAAGGCTGTCTTTTGTTTGACCTCATACCCTGGTGCCTTCCAAGCCCAGGACTAAATGAACAAAGGATTTTAGAATCACAAAGAAGGGATTAATTATCCCTAAAAAAATTACTGTGGTCTAAAAGATTTCACAGGTAAAATGTTGTTAGAGGTAACTAATATAGTAAGTTCCTAGGGAGCAGAGATGCTTTACCTACCACTGTGCTTGATGTACAGTATCTAGTGGGAAGGGATAGGCGGACAGGTGCTCGAAGAAATGATCATTTGTACCTACTTTTATGAGTATTCTGTCTATGACTACCCAGGTCTGATTAGTGAGAAATACAGCAAATCTACTATAATCTAAGTCCTTAATTTATGAACAAGTAAATATCAATTGATAAAAGATAATTGACTTTTTTCCAATTTTTAAAATTATGCTAAAATATGCATATCAAAATTTATCGTTTTAAAGTACACAGATCAGTGGACTACAGTGCGTTATATTTTCTGCCCAGGGTCACATCCACAATTCCGTAAAGGAGGGATCTCTGCCTCCGCTGATTTGGCATGTAGTCTTAGTACCCACAAAAACTTTCCTAATACCTGGGATTCCCTGCCTTCAGTGTGGGAGCCATTCTAGAAATAAGGACCCTGACACGCTTTTCAGTAGGCAATGTAAGGCTAACTAAATCCCCTTCCTTCCTGCTGGGACGCCCCGAGTCATCCTTCTTACCGGATGACCCCGTCTTATGAGGGGGCTGAGGAGAAGTCTGGGGACAGTCCCAGATTCTGGTCCTGGTCCTGCCACTGACCAGGGACTGATGCTGTACAAATGGCTATAATTTTCTTTTCCACTGAGTTTACAGGGCTCTGAGAAGGCCTGCAAAGTACTGGCAAAGACACTAAACATCACTAAGAAGAGGTATTCAGTAAATATTAACAAAGATGACCACAAGACAGCTCCTTCCTCTGGGCAGCTCCATCCCCTTCTAACAATGCGCAAGTTTCTCCTTTTTTGTCCACACACTAATGAGGACCTTGGATTAATACAGTTGAAGAGGGCTATTCTGTACCGCGAGTCTACATTCTGGGTTACTTTGGCCAGGATTTCAGGTATTCGTCGATTTTCATTTCGTACAAAGGTCCAACAGCCTGTCGATGTACTGGGGACAAGTACTGTGCCATGAATGCAAAGATAAGATATAAACCCTGTCCTCAGAGAGTGGTGGTCTTAAGGTAGAGTCAAACACCATAAAAAGGTGAATTTTAGGAATATAAGCATTTAAAAGTGAAGTTACAGTTTTCAGAAACTAGAATAGAAAACCTAAGCCTAGGGATTCAGGAAAGAAAGCCTGTTCTTTAACCATGGAGACCATTTCTTACATTTATTCTTGGCCAGTGTCTGGCATGTGGTAGGCCCTAACATTACTGGCCAAACTGATGAATTCACGTACACACGTATCAATGGGAAACCCTGAAATAAACTGCATGAAGCCTCAGTTGTTTTTATCCAACTCCCTAGTTGGCAATCAGCTCCTCTCTGCTAGAACAATACAGAGCTATATGCGGCCCTTCCTACCTCCTGAGCATACTCCTATCTCGTGTAAGCACTCTTCCTGTCCCTACACACCGTCCTTCTCCACCCCAAACACCATTTTTCTGACTTTCTGATTAGCATTTACATGAATTTCACACGCTACCTTCATCTTCTAGGGCCCCACTACTATATTTAGGGCTGACATCTCTGCAGTAAGGACACCAGGAAAGCTTCTGCCCCCTTGTCAGGAGCCTCATCCTAACTCCTCTTGGTGATGGTGAGAACCTGTGCAATGCTGTGAGAACACCACAGGGCTTCTCTGCCCTCCCCAAGGCAGTGGGAAGGAGGGGCGCAAGTCCCTCTGCGAGAAGGATGCACATAACATGATCTGGGATGCCTGTGTTGGGACCTAGCTAGGATCCTGATGCCTATTTACTTTGTGTTGCAGATGTCTGGGTTATCACAGTGGTGCCTCAGGTCATGAACTTGATTCTGGAAAAGATGGCCCCGTTCATGTTCGTGTGGGAAAGATGACTGTGCTCTGTTCATCACCCAATCCAGAGTTTGCAAACAGAAACAAAATTTCACCAAATGCTTCTGCTTGTGAACCAAACTGTTCACAAACAAAACTGTTCATGAACTGAGATACCACTGTACTTCTCTCCATGAGACTTGGCTCTAAGAGATCTGACAACAGAATTTCAATGACTGAATGGCAGGTACAACATATGACCAAAAATCGGTACCTTTACCATCTTGTTCCAAGGTGGTAGACCTATTACACCTTTATTCTGCTCCTCTCATCACATGGGAGCCCCCAGAGTGAGGGTGGCAGAAAGCAGTACTAGCTCATAAAACAGGTCCAAATACTGCCTGTCTCCCTGACAGTATGTTCTGGGTAAGTCAGTGACCTAGCAACTCTGAAAAGGGGGAACACCTCTTCCCAAGGTTTATAGTGAGGATTAAGGTAATTTTCATAACATATGTAAAAGCACCTAACAAAGACAATGACACATAGTAGGTACTCCGTAAACACAGTCTCTCTCTTCTATTACTGGATATACCACACTTTCTCCAAGTACCAAGCCATCCAGAAACCCAGAGTGTGGATAGGCTACATAGAGATCATTGATCCTTTCTTGGACTTCTCATTTAGAATCTCTTGCTAGGGAAAACAGTACGGCGGGAGATAGGATAATTTTAATAGGTGATTCATATGCCCAAATTACTAAAAGGAAATGGGAGAACTGGAAGGCTTTTTCATAAGGCTGCTGTTCGTAGGCAGTAGCACCACTTACTGACCAAACTTGGGAGATCCAAAAAGAAATTATTTCCTTGTAATTACTTTCTTGCAATTACACCACCTCTGACATATCAAAGATTGGACAAACAAACTTGGTCCTTCATCTCGATCTGTAAAGACACCATCCAAAAAACCCCCTTCCTGCCCCTAGTGAAGGACTAGAAATAAGTTGTCATAGCTGAATGCACTGTTTTCATTTAGGAGACTTAATGCTGTCAAAACACCACTGCGCTGCTTCTCCTCAGTGTTCAGGGCACATGTAGACCTGATGGACCCTTAGCCTCTTACCTTGACTTTTTCACCATTAATCTCCACTGTCTTAATCATAAAATCAACTCCAATTGTGGCGCCTTGACCTGGGGGGAAAAGACCCTAAGGAAGAAATAATGGAAATAATAGTTACGCACATCTCTCAGTTAAATGAAGCCCCCACCGCCGCTACCCGCACCAGGCCCTCCTAGAGCTGTGGTCAACTGGTAGAAATGAGAACTCTGGTGACTATCATGGGTTTAATTTAACTTTGTTTAATTTAACTTTGTCAGGAAGAGGAAGGAGACAGTGAAGAGAAAAGCAGGGAAAGAAAGTGATTTAATTTAATTTAACTTTGTCAGGAAGAGGAAGGAGACAGTGAAGAGAAAAGCAGAGAAAGAAAGTGAGAAGGAGCGTGAGGGAGGGAAGAGAACCCGGAAGTGAGGGGCGGCTAACGTCAAAGGAAAGCAGGAAGCATCAGACACAATGGTAAGACAGAAGAGAGGGAGCCGCAGAAGCGGGAGCAGGATCGGGAGCGGGAATAGGTCTCCAAAGAGACAAAATCAAGGACGCTGAAACCTGGCTGTCAGTCCTGACCAGAGGCAGCCACGGGGCTACACAACCAACGTGAAGAAGTAAAAACTTGGCACGAGCAGCTTGAACATGCCGGTAAAGCTTTTGAATTCTCTGCCCCGAGGTGATTGCTATTTTCCACTCTGGCGGCACCACACACGCTTTCACTGGCTCAGGGCCAGTGGCTCTGGCAAAACATCTAAGGGAAAAATCATCAGGGAAACAATGGAGTAGAAATAGCCTTAAACCACGAGGTGGCAGAGGTAGGATTTCTAGGTGACCTCAGACAAACCATTCCACCTCTCCGGGCCTCAAATTCAGTGAGTCTGAGGTTATTGTAAACAGAGAAGAAGAAAGAGAAGAAAAAGCAGTAGCAGCTTTATTCAAACCGGAAATGTAGCAGTTTCCAGAAACAGGGTATTAGCGAAATTACATGAACACCTCCTATAAGCTTCTAGAAGGAGCAAGGAATCCTTCAGAGAAAGTACTCTTCACCTAGCCTCTTCTCCCTTTTTACTCATAATCTAAAATTTCGAGAAATTAAAGTGCAATGGACTTTATTAGCTCTGGCAGCTAAAACTGGGATATCTTTAATCAAGTCCACTCCCTAACAAGAGGGTTCCTTAATTAAAGTTGAAACTTAAAAGCTGAGCTTTGAACCAAAAGAAAATGTTCCACTGCCGTCTGCAAAAGACATAAATATAAACATTCATAACTTAACTTAAAAATATTGAACCAATTTTCTCCTCGGTTCACTTGGCTCAGACACAAGGCTGCCAAGCTTCAAGTTTATACAGCTCCAGCTGTTTTGCAGCCTAACAAATGCCAAAAAATAAAATAAATCCTCCACGATTTTGTGCCCCAACCTTTCAGGCCTCAAAGACAGCTGAATCCAATTCATCTTAACTGCTTGCTAAACAAGAAAAACAAACATAATCCTGTCTATGAAATATGAACTTTGGGGGGAATTGAGGGGCTAAGGAAGGTAAAAAGCAGACAGAAAAGAACAATAATAAGAAAATTGTACTTGTTGATAATACTGCTCAAAATGTAAACATTTTCACCTTTAATAATGACAAGGTTTTTTTGTGTGGTTTTGGTTGGTTGGTTGGTTGGTTGGTTGGTTTGTTCAGACAGTCTCGCTATATTACTTCAGACTTGCTTTGAAGTCACTACATAGCCCAGGCTGGCCTCCTACTCCTGCGATCCTCCTGCCTCAGCCTCCTGAGTGCAGGGATCACAGGTGCGTGCCACCACACCAGGCTTGTATTTTTAAAGAAACTGGTCTCAGAGGTTGGAACTGAAAGATAGAAATGAGCAGTCTGAGGCCCAGAAGACCTGTGTTCTAACCCTGGCCTTGCCATGAATGTGACTGCTGACCAAAAGCGTGTCACTGCGTGTCATTCAGTCCCCCGGGCTCTCAGTTTCTCATCAGTAGAATGAAAGGACTGGACTGAATAATCTCTGCATGACCTTTCAGCAATGACACGAGGCCCAGAGTACTTTCCACAAAGAGACTGAAAGTTCTTTACAGCTCTACAGTTCCACAACCTTGTCCTTCCGTCAAAATCAGAAAAGCTTACTAATATTAGGTGGATGTAAAGCCAGTTGGAGTTTCTACTACACAGTATCTGCGGCAGCTGACTAAGCCTTGTTAGCTTTGTACTTTTGATTTCGCCAGGCCAAGACTCAGTGAAAAGTACAAGCTCCGGTCTATGTTTGCTTATCATGGGGACACCCTGACCTTTCACAGTGACTCCTGGCCCTACAACCCTTTGTGTTATCCAGTCTGCCTCTCTGGTTAGCCACAGACCCCCAGGCTGTCAGAGCTGAAAGGAGCCTTGGAGTGCACCCGCTGTCTCAAGGAGAGCAAGGAAGCCGGGGAAGAGAGGAAATCCACCCAGGTTCCAAGGACAACCCGGGTGGAACCAGGCCAGGACGACCCTTGAGCTGCACTCTGCACAGCTTTGGGTGCCCCAGGCCTTAAAAGAGCTCGTTTCAACTTTCCCAATGAACACATCTTAAAAATGCAAGCTGTGCGCATGGTAATCCAAAACCAAGCGTAACTCATATTTTTCAGACAAAAAGTCCACTCCAGAATGATTTCTAATCTCTGTATTAAAACAGTCATGTAACCTCAGCCCACAATTTTCAAGAGGGCCATTGCAAAGGAAACATGTACTTAGGTCATAGGATAAGGATTCAAACCAGAAAGGACATTCATTCCAGGTTCTCATTTCATTCCCATTTAAGAGATTTAGGAAATCAGCATATCTTGCTCTAAACCAAAAGCAATTCAGTTTCATGATAGGCCATGGCTGGCATAAACAGGGAATTGAGGTTTAATTTATATTAGAGTGTTTTAAAAATGAATGCTTAGGTTCAATTTGATCTCCAGAGTCATTTGTTTCCACCTTTTGATTACTCTGAACTAATCTAGTTTTTATCTGATCTATTTCTGTTACTGCTCCCTGAAAGCAAAGCCACCTGGCCCTTTTGCAAAAGGAAGCAAGAGGAGGTGTGATGTGGGAGGTTAGTGGTGACCCACAGATTCTTGTTCCCTTGCGGCGGTTTAGAGAAACTCTAAGCTACAAAGCTGATGAAGATATTCAGGGCTCTTAGCCAAGAGGCCGGAGCTGAGACCAGCCCCACCCTCCCGACCCCCCCCCCCCCGCAAGGCCAGCTGGACATCAAAAGCCCAAACCTGGGTTCTAGCGAGCTCTCTTACCTGAGTGAATCGTCGGACCAGGCACGTCTTCCCCACACCGGCGTTGCCAATTAAAACAATTTTGAACAGGAAATCATAATCTTCCATACTCATTTACACAGCTGCAAGGCAAACAGAGGCAAGAGTAAGAGAGACCCAGTCTGATTTGCCAACAGAGCTCAGGCTGCACCAGCCCTGTCTCCTGAGGAAGCACAGGTCTGAGCCACGGAGGAGCAATTTAATGCGCTCCCCTGGTGACCCCGCCAACAAGACAGGAATGCAGGTGTCTGCGCACGGACTTTACTCCTCTCACCTACCTCCCATGACATAAAGTGTTCTTTCGCCTGGGAACCTTTACTCCTCCAAGCAGTCAGGTCAAGGGTCCTGACACCATAAGACCGTTTTCTTTCAGTATGACACACACTGTGCTAGGCAAGCTCGGATGCACAGAAAAAGGAGAGCCGTCCGGGAGTGGGCTCTGCGCACCTCTGGGAAGAAGTACTAGCAGTTAGGAGACTGCATAACGGGTACGGAATTGGAAGGGGTTTTTTTCAGTCTCCTACCAGTCTTGGGGATCTTACCAGTAGGACTTATCGTCACCTTCCCCGACTCCTACCCACCTCCTGCCAGTCATGTTGATGCTAAGGTGCCTCTCAAAGCCTTTTGTCGACTTCAGCACATACTGTACATCATTTCCTCCACTGAGGATGCCTTCCTTTCCGCGCTCCCCGCACCACCGCATCCTTCAAGCCTCAATGCAAGCCTCTTTCTCTCTGAGTCTTTCACTGATCCCCCTTGAATAAAATGAAATGCTTTCACCATTCCTTTGTCCTACAATTCCCTTCGTGGTTTACAGATTTTGTTCAAATGCCTGCCTGATTCCTGAGTGAAGGGATTATATCTTTCAGCATTATTCTTCCAGCCCCTGGGACAAAGGAACATTTAGTGAACATCTGCTTTATAGAAGGAAAGAATTAATTGTGCTCCAGTTGTGCTGAAAAAAAATACTATCTGCTCTGTCTACTTTAGATGACTGTTTTAAAGATTAAAGAAGGAAAAAAAATCCCCCCCAAAGAGCCTTGGTACCTTTGAGGCCCTGTCCTCATGGACGTAGTTGTTACCTATCCAGTGCCTACTGTAGCAGTTGACTTTTACCATGTCTGCCCTTAAGACCAACATGAGCAAAGTTACTAACCAAAAAGTGAAATAAGTGAAGCCAATAGCTGGGCTCATCTTCTTAGTCCTAGGCAAAACAGGGCCAGTAGATTCTGGAAGGGAAGGAAAAGGACGACTGGCAAGCTGGTGCAGAGGAGGATCATGGGGACAAAGCGAAGCCTCGGGGTCACACTAACAGCAACCTGCAAGCTCAGTAGCTGCAGGCTCGTGTGGCAGAGAGGAGCGCCTAATATGCTGCACCTGCCAAGCAGTAGGGGAAATAAGTTCCCTGTGTGCAAAGTTGATTTCCATGTGGCTTTCAAAGGTCCCTGGAAAAATGAGATCTAGGCCAACACACAGGAGTGACTCATAGGGTTCTGTCTCAGGTCACTGGGACCATGAAGAAACAGCATTTCCGTGTACAAGAATCTGGGCACATACGCAGTAGCTGTGACACAATACTTGGCCTTCTACCTACATTTCTACTTGTTTTCTCAAGCTGATGCAGCTGCCATTACTAACACTGTGTATTACCTGAGCAATCTGAGGTTAAGCAAACCCAAAAGGTGGCCCAAAATTATATAGCTAACAGCCCGACTTCAAGTTCCCAAGACATACGTATCAGCAAGAGAACTTTAACTCTGAGCCAGAGACCTAAGTTCAAAGCCTGGCTGTACTACCTTCTAAGTCTATGCCTTTGAACAAGTGACAGTTATTCAGAGCCTGAACTTCTCCAGTAACAAAATGGGGCAAATAACACCTGCATCACTGGACTGTCATAGTGGAAGGAATTACTGGAAACCCCAAAGACAGCACCTGGCTCTCGGTCACCCCAAATCCTTACTCTCACTTCGGACTCTGCCCTCGCCGCCGGCCTCATTGCTCACCACCCTCCTCCTAACCCACTGGATGTCCTCTTGTCTTACACACCACAGGACTGCTTTTCTTCCAGACCTTTATGTATAATATTCTTTCCGTCCAGAACACAGAGCCCACTTCCCATCGCCACCCTGGCCCAGCCATCTTTTATCTCCCCATCAGATCTCAGCAGGCACATCACTTTCCTCTATTACGTTTCTCTGACCTAGGTGACAGCCTGGGCCCCCTCTGTGCTATCCTTCTCCTTTCCCTACAGTGTACTCACCGCGCTTTACTATAACTACGTGTCTACACTCCAACATTACCCTCCACACCGAAGCACTACTTACACACATCCACATCTGTGTGCAACCTGAGGGTCATAGATCTGTGGCTCGGCCTAATCCCAACCCTGTCCCCCCGCATAACTGTCATCATCATCTCACTTTATTACTGAGTTGTTTAATCGCACAATCCCCTGGGGTAGACAATGTTGGCATTCCTAACTCGACATATGGGGATCCTGAAGCACAAGAAAAAATAAATAAGGTGCTAAGGTGCCACAGCTGATAACTGCTGAAGCTGAGATTCAAATTCAGACCCCCATGTCCTTGAACTACTGTCCAGTATTGACTTTCATTATGCCTGGCTCATCATAAACACTCAAGGAAGATGTGAGCTCTTCCTCAGCACTGGGGATTGAACCCAGGGCCTCATGCATACTAACCGCACACTTTACCCCTGGGCTGCATCCCCAGTGCCAATTTTTTAAAAAATAAACTTGCAGGAAGAATGTGGTTGGTCTCTCTAAAACTGCAGCTTTCTGTGGCTAAAGCTGGACTACAAACTCCAAATTACCTGCTGTAGTCACTGTTCCATTTCTAAAACCGCATTACTGAATGAAAAGCTCGTAAGATTCTCTGGAAAATACTATGCTTTGAGGAAGCCTTTCTGTTTGGCCCACAGTCCAACAGCCCAGGCATTGCCAGTTACTATGTGATGAGACAGTCTCCCAGGAGAGGAAAACCTGTTACGCCCACCCCTAAAGCAGCAGCGAAAGTCAGAGCTCACCTGTGGAGCAAGCGTGTTGGAAGATATGCAACTGGCCAAGCACTGTTCTCACAATTCTTCATTGTTATTGTCAGTAATAATAACAACTCCTCAATGCTTTTCCTGTGCAGGTATCTTCTACGTGTATTTACTCACCGAAGTCTCACAAGAACCCTGCGAGATAGCTGTTCTCTTCAGCTCTAACGCACTAACCAGTAAACTGAGGTGCAGAGATCATCCTAACATCAGTTAGTTCATTTTAGGACCAACATACAGTGCAAGCTCAGATCCACCTGACACCAAGGTTTGACTCCCTGAAAGAGTAAATAAAATCTGAAAGGTACAATAGATATTGCAAAAGGGAAATACAGGAAATGAAATCTAGTATGAAAAATTAAAAAGGAAGAAAACCACCCTAAACAATATGAATTTGGCAATGTAAACGTTTTTTAAGTGGCCTTAAAAAAAAACTGCAGTTGTACATCTGTACATTTTTCCCCTTCCTTTAGGACTCAGTATAACAGAGAAAGGGCCAGATCCCTCCCCTACTTTCTGACCCGCAGCTCTGCTCCCAAAACTATCGTAGGGACTTATCTCTGTTCAAAAACCACACTGTCAAGCCAAGAGGGGTGGTACACCCCCGTAATGCCAGCACTCTAGGAGTCCAAGACAGGAACATCACAAGTTCAAACTCAGTTTGGGCAATTTAGGGAGACCCTGCCTCAAAATAAAAATACCTTTAAAAGGACTGGGGATGCAGCTCAGTGCAAAGTCCCTAGGTTCGATACCCAGCACCAGAAAACACACAAACCCCCAAGTCTCACGCAGGTCTTTTTTCCCAAGGTCTGTACATGGAGGAGGTTGGTGATAGGCACCAGAGGCCCTTCCCTTGGCAGCATGTGGTGGCAAGGTAATGAGGTCAGGGAAGCCTTGTCTGTTAAAGAGCCCTGTACTGTTTCATCATGCATAGAACGGATGATATTAGAAGTTACAACACTGGGGTGTTTGCAAGGTAAATAACATAATATATGTAAAAATACCCCTTTCAAAATGTAATAATTAAATGTGTTTCCTTCTGACAAGTCATATACACAAAATTTAAAATGTATATTTATATAAAAAAGAAAAGTAAATCATCTATAACCTCTTTCCTTAATCAATCTCTTCCTGGGTGTAATTACTATTAACATTTTGCTACACAACCTTCTAGTCCTTGTATTTACTCAAATTTCAGTTTCAGGCAGCAACAAAGTTTAATTCGTCTGTTCCAAATATTGTATGAGACATATGCATAATTTTTTTGGCAGGCCTAGGTACCAAACCCAGGGCCTCACACACGTTAGACAATCTCTCCTTACCACTGAGCTACATATCTATTTCTGCCATATGAATTCTTCTATTATTTGTATATCTGAAACTCAAAAGTAACTGATGACCCTATATCTTATTTGGCAACCATATGCAGAGAAATTGTGCAGTCAGGTCACAGTAGAAACAGAAACCAGAAATAAGCACAGTATCCTGTGGAGGAAAACGGAGGGCATGAGAAACAAGGTGTCTCTGATGAACCCAAGAGAACCAAACAGAGGAATAATAAAGGCAACAAGTAAAGTTTGAAGAAGTCATTACAAATCTGGGATTCTTTCAAATCTGGGCCAGACTGCAGGAGCTGAGACCACACTGGTCCCCAGGCTCAGTAGGAAGACCTCCTTGACAATCCAGGGCACGTGAAACCTCCAAGCACACCCAGTGCGTGCGTCTGCCTGGTGGAGGGTGTTGTGATGTACATGTCTTCTACCCCTACTATATGGCCAAGTACTATATTTCAACAAGACACTCCTCTCTGCTAGCCCCATTGCTGTGTCCAATTAGTATACATTCAATTAAAAGCCTTTGATCCATCTTTCACTCTAACAAGGTTCTATCCCAGGAAGCTCATTATTGCTTAATTACTAGGAGGCAATTACTAACCATTACTATAATCAACTACTGCAGGCTCACTTGCTTTATATCAGCTGCTAATTTCATGTTATTGCAAGTTAATTATCCTCCCTGGCCT